GTTACAATTGGCCTCCATCGGAAATTAATATCATACACAAAATGCTACCAAGCTTTGAGAAATGAAATACATGCACTGTACATTGAAGTTGTCAAGCAACTTTTGCACTTAGTGATTGAAGTCAACTGAAGCTGCGTTATACGCACTGTACATGATGGACTAGTACTACATGTCAAGTCAGTACTTATTTAAAAAAATGTTACACAAAGGAAGTTCACATTTAATACCTGAATATGTACTTTTTAACTAGTACATCTCAGCACGAATACAGTACATGTGCTTTGCACTTGCTGTATATGTGTACATTGTGTATGTAGCATTCAGCAACTTTGCTACTCACATTTAAATTTCTTTCTTTTCAACACAATTTCAAAGCATTTTGATTGATTGCAAGTTCATTTTTTTTTCTCTCTCTCAAATATTCATGTTTCTGCATGCTTCACTGACTGAAGAAAAGATCCTCAATATTTCTGGACATGAAAATAACATGACGCTGTCCCCCAATTGCTCAGATGGAAAATTACAGGGTAGATTAGATTTCCAATTATGATAGAAAGCCCCCGTCCCCTCATACGGACAACTGCATGCACCAGCCACACCACAGCGTCAAGATTATTTATAAACCCTCCGCCGTGTGTAAACATCACATGATGCCTGCTGACGCACATGCCTATTGATTATATTGTGGCCGACCCGGGAAGCGAGCGATTGTCGGCGTGGAACTAGTGCATTATAATGAGATGCACCGTGCACTGTCATGCATTAACCAAGGGAAAAAGGAGTGTTTGTGTGGGGGTGGGTGTGTGGACATGAAATAGGCCAGAGCTTGATAGGGACAGGCTTTTAGATTGGTAGCAAGGTATTAGAATATTTGCTAGTGATAAGGAAAAGGAGGATTAACTCTTCTCGTTATAGAAATTAGAATACAGAAACAAGCTTCTTTGAACATGTACATGTATATGCGACCCGCAACAAAAAGTGAGTCTCTTGTCACCGGAGCCACGTTTGAGTTTGACTTTGTATTAGATTGAGGAATCTGAGCTCTTTGCTTGGATGTGTCACACTCAGTACGGTACGATGAAAATGGACGTTGTGTAGATGTTAAAATGTGGAGAATTTGTATTGCTTTAAACACTGTGCAAGATTCTTTCAAAGGCCTTTAACCCAGAAGTGGCTCTGGTGACGTGTGAGTTATTTTTGCAGAGTGGGTCACTTATGTACAATCTGCACGTAGCATCCTGCTTTGCATAGCAAGACTTGTAGAGTACAGTACAGTAGCTCCATGTAGATGTAGAAGAGGAATGCGTAATGCTGTAAATGATAGGGCCGGGTTGCACATGTGTGTTTTTTGCATTGTCCAGGATAATACCGGCAAAATATAAACCCATGTTGAATGCATGTGGTGGATGTATCACAGGTGGAAAGCTAATAAACCTTCCTAAATGTATAAAGCCCATCAGTGGTAAATCTGTGGATTCTATACAATTATTCACACCCAGCCTCTTGTTTATTTGACCCCCTTATGCAGGCCCTGCAGGGGTACGTTTATAAACAGATGTCATTGTGTTTTGTATGTAACTAGCAGTAACCTGTTTAACCCTAACTGCCTGCTCTCTAAAAAGGATCAGTAGAATTCTATTAGACTAGAATTCAGACTAGAATTCAGTAAAATTTGACCAAGTCTTCAGGGTCAGCTGCGTGCAACTGGGAAGTAGTCAACCTGACTAGATTTTTTTAGTCAGTTCATTGATATTTCAAAGGCATCGAATAGGAATCTTGTCAGAAAGCATGATTTGCCAACGTAGCGCCGGTGTTTGACTGAATCCGTAGTCAATGTTGAACAACTAGGCAAATCAGTCCACATTTGGACTAGGTTGTTTTCAGAGTGTGGCATATCATTTGGCCTTATAGGACTCAGTACTACAAACTACTACGTCGTCGTAGTATGTGCCTGAAGGACCTAGCGCTACAGATTACTATTTCTGGCTGGGGCTCTTCCATTGTTATTTTTACAGAGAACAATGAAGTCATGTATTTCATAGTGCCACCGCACTGAATGGTATGTTGTCTTACCGTATTTTATGGCTTCAGAGAACAATAAGGTCATGTCCTCATACAAGTGACACCGCTGTATGCTACATTTTACTACGAAGCAGTAGTTTTTAGTATTAGGCCTATGGAGTGTTAGGGTAAATGGCATATTCCCTATGTTTTTATATATATTCACCCTTGTTGTTTATTTTCAGCAGTGCTTGCTTCAAAATTTTTTTCTGTCCAGATCATTACATTGCATCTTCTTGGAGAAAGTTCATTTTTACGTGGAATTGTCTTGGTGGAACGCTAATCGCCTAGGCCTTTTTGCTTGTCACCATCCCCAATACTTCCAATTATCCACGAAAAAAAAATTGTATTCCTGCTCACTCCTCCCAAATCCACCTATAGTTCTTAAACATGCTTCTCTGAGGGGTGCCCACTCCCTCAATCCTTCAAAATCATCCGACAGTTCCTGTTGTCATGTTGATGCATCCCAACTGCTACTGAGTACCCATTCATGGACATTCCAATCGCTGACTTCTTCCGGTAACCATGTGACTTCAGAAAGTGATAGGTCATCAGAAAACCGAAGTGAAAACAGACCCGATATGTCATGCCGAACACAATCGGCGAAAAGACGAGGTTTGCTGCAGGAAGACTGCAGGAAGGCTGATTTTTATTTATCGGTACAAAGAAACCTTTGTGAAGATTTATGTATGTTCAGTTGTGCATGCTTCCAAAAGAAGTTATGCGTGTCATGATTCACAGTTCTGTGATTCTTCGATGACTGCAAAGCAACAAGCCAAATTTTAAGCCTAAACATTTTCATCAGCCTAAACATTTTACCAGGATGTTTTGATATGCTTTTTGTTTGTTTTTTTGTGTTTAAAAACATAGACCAACCTTTTGAAAGAGGAATAGATTTTTTAAAGTGCCCCTGTGCAAACACAAAATCATGTCTAGCTTTGCGGCATGATTGTGTTGAGACCCAATTAATTAGCAAGCACTGGGAGGAGAAGTCTGAAAGTGAAGCATAATCGGATTTGAAGGATTGGTCCCATCGGTCCAAGGTTCCCGAAGTCTGAACCTGGATTCCCTGTGAGTTCAGAATGCAAGAGGTGTGGAGGCTGGAACCTTGCCCCAAGAGGTTTTCTGGAGAAAGATATGGTTTGTCCCCCCCCCCATAAAAATCTCAGTAATGAAGTTGGTTTCAAGTGACACTGGCTCGGTTAGACAGGGCATCAGGGTTGGTTGGGAAGGCTTTTCTGATTGATCTGTAGGCTTTGTACAATTTCCCCTGAGTGGATTGGCAAACCAGGCCTTGCCCATGAGAAGCACTTTTTTGGCATTGCCAACAATTTGTGGTGGGGAGGCCGGATTGTCCTATATTGGGCCTAGCTGTCCACCAGCCTGTTGGAAATGTCAAAGGTTCTTACAGTGGTATATTCCATGATTCCAGTGTGGATCACCCAATCAGAAAACTTCTCAAGAGAAAGTCATCATACACTTTACATTTGAGTTTGAACTCTGTCAACCTTTAGCCCTGTTTCCTTAGAGTGAATCTTTACATGTAAAAAAAATGGAAATGTAATTTTATCCATGATATAATAATCACAATGCGAAACATTCAACTAACTTTTTAACTCTGAATTTACATTTTTAAAAACATTCCTGTGTCAGCATTTATTGTACATACATGCACAGTACACCTGAATAGGTCACTCTGCTGTGCAAACCCGAAAGTAGTGTGCAGTACATTAATGCCCTTAAGATTTACAAAACCCTCACGACTGTTCATGTTTATTCAAGCATGCTCATACCATATTCATATGCTCGTACCAGCTTGCAATTCGGAACATGGCTTATAAGGCCAGTGTCCGTGTAATAAACATATACATGTAGATGAGCATTGCTAATCATTTGCATAGCTAATAAAATCTTGCCAGAAAATGCCCATGCTAGTTTGATGAAAGGTCCTTTTTGGAAAGAAAATGCCCACAGTGTCTACCACCCAAAGTTGTCCCTAGTCTGCAGTCACATTGCATTATCTCCCTTACTTTGTCCCTGCAGATTATGTTATGCTTTCATGGCAGAAAGGACAAAAAAACACACCTGCCGGTCCCCCAGGTTTGCGAGTTCCAAACCTGATTTAAAAGAAAGAAAGAAAGAAAAGTTTTTGAATCAATAAAATTGCAAGATTGCCTGTGCTCATCCTCTTAAAACCTCCCCCCCCCATGGTGCTCCAGACAAGGATTTTAATTACGGTGTCTAAATTGAAGGTGACGCGGTGATTGAAAATGCAATAAGGGAGGTACAGCCTCCAACCAGAATATTCCAGAACGTAATAAACCTTTGCCTGCCATTACTCGGTGGATAAACAAGGGGAGCCAGTAAGTGCCCTTGCCCAGAATTCAACTGTTAAAGGGCGCCGTCGGTAGGATACTTCCAAGTGTGATAGCTGAAAATGACAAGTTCAACTGAAAACATGTTTTAAAGTAATGATAGTTCCAGTCGAATTTTGACATGTTGTAAAGTGGATTTGGGTGAGTTTGTTGAATCAGTTCCGAGCTTGCTGAGGAAAGTGGGAAGAAATGCTTTCTGAAAGAAGTCAAAATTTAAGTAAAAATGCACATACATGTACATGTGTCAATATTTGTGATTTTGGTTGATTATTTTAAATAACTCCTGCAGGAAACATTGCATTGTGCAAGAACAAAAATTGTTTTTTTATGGCTACGGAAAATTTGTAGAATTCTTTAAAATGAACTCTGCTGTACTGGATGTCAATAGCCAAATATTGGATTAAATTAATGGCTTGTGTGACTTTGTTACAGTTGTTCAAATTAATCGCAAAGCATGCCACTACAAGATTAACTTACCCGAGCAGTTTTCTTAATATCCTGTTAAATTTGTTTTAATGACTTCCTGCAGCATTTGATTGAATTTTCTTTTTTCTTATTTTTCAGATCACTAGATGACAGATATGATCATCCGGGATCAAATTATGAATATGGCAGCCGTGGATACGATAGACATTACGGAAGGGACTCGGGATCATACCATGAGGAGGAAAGTTTACCTGTGTCATATCGCGATCGGCCACGCGATCGAACGTACAATCGTGGCACCAACTACTACCAACATTCCAGCAGCTCACGGGGGACCGGCGAGACGAACTTTGACCCACCCCAACCGCTGCCCTCAACCCAGCAATCGGACCAGGATTACCGTTTCCTGAGGGACCAGTTTGCCACCGCAAGGGTGGATGCTGACTCATACTCAGACTCTGGGGGCTCACGCAAGGGGCGGAGCCGGCGACGCAAGCCTGCCTGCCGAGCGGGCTCGGCCAAGACTGCTGCCGCAGTTGCTGTGGTTGCCGCCGCCGCAAACCGGTCGCCGCATTCGGGCTCAGCGCCCCGTTCGCGAAGCCTGAGCCGCTCACCGAGCCACTCCCACAGCCGTAGCCGCAGCCGGAGCTCGGACTCAAACAGCAGCGCCTCGCAGGGGGCAGTGGCCAGTGAGGAGAACTGGGAGCGGCGGTCGCGAAGCAAAGAGAGCGACCGAGAGAGCCGCAACACGGAGAACACACTCAGCTCGGCGGGCTCCAAGAACGCCGCCGGGCTGTGCGTTAGGAACTTGCCAACTAGATCCAGCGGTACGTGTCTAGGAGTTTAATAATGTGGAATGTATCACTGCCGAACCATGTGGAATATAAAAAAAATGCACAGAGCCTGGATTTACCCTTATGTTGCCTGGAAGATACACATGTAAAAGTTGTCCATCCGTCTTGGCAGTGCTTGAGCCAGTGTCGGTTCAGTTCAAGCCTCAACCTTTACGGAAGTCTTCCCTAAATCCACTGGTTGATACCCGCCACAATCATTTTACTAGCTGTCATCAGTACCGTCTTCCACTTGGGCTCAGGATACATATCAAATTGCTTTGAATGGATCTTTTGGAGCAAAGCGGCAACGTCACAGAAATATTCCTGCGTTTGACATCCAGGAAATGGGTCTTGTGGTATTTTCTGTCACAATTGGTGAATGTGTGTATGCTTGGAAGAGAGGGAAGGGCTTCCCTTGGGTGGTTTTTATAAAGGGGGAACCCTCCCGTATTATTTTTTCGTCATACACACAAGCCGACAGTGATAAAAATAAGGGCGATTCACAATAGTGCGCCACCCAGAGTTTGCAATGCGTCGGCCAATCACAGCGCTCAAAATTTGTTGACCCTCTCCAAGTGCACATTGGGTCGACAGATTTTGCGCATTGTGATTGGCCAACGCGTTGCAAACGTGTATTGTACCATTACGTGCACAGCGTAGATGGCTAACAGAGGCTGTGTCACATGACTGGGAGTTGCTGTTCTTGTAAAGAAATGGAAAATTACTTAGGGATGAATCGAAGGATGATGGCCCGGGGGGGGTTCACTTTAGAATACTCAACATGAGCTATTTACTGATACGGCGAATTCACTTCGATGTCTTGGTCTCATAGCCTGTTGTACATTTACACTCGTCTCTTTATTTTTTGAAAGCGGGAGATTGGAAGGTTCTTTTTTTTTTTTACTCAATTCGGTCTGTAGTCTCAGCTCGCAGATCTTCAATTCCTTTGACGGAAATTCGTTGGCACGCATGTGTGACCCAGCCCATTGGCATGAGCCTAATATCGGTAGAGGCTCCTTTGAAGTCTAGAGCCTAAACAAATGTCGCTCATTGGAAATCAATGCCAATCACTGTGAATTTAAGAGTTCATTACGTCTTTCTTCCTCATATTAATGAACTGGAATGCCACCTGCATCAATCAAATCAAAGAGCTCCATATAATGTCTGTTCTATTCCACGAGAAAACCTTTATTGAAAACGAGTCTTTGGGCTTCATTTTGCTGGATTTGGTTAGTCACATGTTCCCTTCCAGTAGGCTTCCTTTTGTTGTCTAGTAGCTGAGCCAAAACTTCCAGTGTATGTTGTCCCAACTATTCCAGCCAACTGACACAAGCCACTGTATTTGACCAAGTGTTAAAAGTCTGACGCCACTTTTGGCCATACATGCCACCTTGTTGGTTGGTTGGTCACAGGTGTTTTCCATTGGCCCGGTGTCAGCTGGAGGGGACTTTTTAATTAAACACGTGCAGTCCAGAAGAGCCCTTTTTCCCAGTGTTCGTATCTGTGCCAGTCCAACCATGGTTCAACTGGACTACTGAATCCCTGCCCAAGGTGTCCCCTTGGGTTGCTGCCAGTGGTCAGACTTCTCCAGCCTAATTGGGAATGATGTGTTCACACAGCATTTTTGAGAAGGGACTATGGCTAAAAATTGTCAAACCCATTCTGAGATTATGATCTGTGTGGATCCTTTTTCTGCCTAAAATTTGTGCATTGGAGCTTTTAAGGGGAAAGACATGAGATGTTTTGAATGTGTTCGAAATTGAAATACATAGGAAGCATCCCGCTTGACATCGGAACTGCATGTAACCCTTGTCAGGATCTGATCAATCCAAATTAGATAATTCCCAATTTGAATCACAAATTTCGAACCATTCAAACTGAAGAGTTCATTGCTCTGATCATTGTTGTGAAGTTCAGTAAGGCGAAAAGGGATGGAGAGGGAAAAAATCCCTAGGTTTGACACATGTCCAACCCTGAGAGTTGTCAAGGTGCGAGTGGACCATGATTAAGTAAACGCTTGTGTTCCCCATCTGCACTGTGGTAAGAGTGCAGCATGTTAGCATTGAAATGAAATTGGATTGGCTCTTGACGCTGTGAAGTACAACTTCTGATACGAAAAAAAATGTTTTGTACCCTGGTCTTGATAGACACAAGCATCAAGGATGGTTTGTTTCACGAGTTCAAGAAGTACGGCCAGGTCACCGCGGTAACAGTCCATGGCACGGGTGACGACAGAGCAGGCATCGTGTTTTTCAAGAGGTAAAGTCCCCCCTCCCCCATCGAATTATGTTCAATGAAGAATGAACACAAGTTATGTCATAAATACTAACAAGACATAGAATGCCTGTATTGCACTATATTATTTTGTTACCCTAAAGGTCAGTGCTTCAGGTAAATATGAAAGCTTGGGGAATCTGATGTCATGAAACATCTATTGTGAAAAAATATTTCGAGTTGAAATGGGTTAGACTTTTGTAAATTTGCACCATGAATATTTGAGCTGACATCACAATTTTGTTAAAGTATGAAGTGTCCTAAAAGCTACCCGAACTTTGTTGGACTGCAAGTTTTCTTGTCCGAGTCGAGTAGCACAGTTCCATATAATATTTTTTATGCGGATTGAAAAGAGGTCTGAATGGATGGAGAATCAGACGCACATGTAGGTACATGCATTTAAACGTTCATGTCGCTGAAAACAGCACTGGTCTTGCCAGACACCCAGAACACATTGTCAATTACTGTAAGGGAGCAACTCCACCTTCCGTTACCTCAGCTCAGAGGGTCTCAGATCTAGGAAGGTTCACACATTGCCAGCCATTGTCACAGGCTTTCACAGGAAACCTTGAATGAAGTCTGAACTGGGTTTCCTGAACCAGATTAGGGAAAAAGTCCCCAACTTTAAAAGTTGCTTCCCCCCTCCCATGTTGTACATTCTGTGGACATCTGTCTACTTCCATACCTACATGTACATGTACTCGACAGATGTCTGTTGCGTCTAAAACGTACACCGTAGTGTCTGCCATAAATACAATCTGCATCTAACCCACAAAATTGCTTATCAGACAAGACTGATATTTGATATATTTCTAAGCAGTAAGCAAATACCATTGCCTTGAAATGAAGCATCAGGATGACTCAGAAGTCGATGGTACATGTATGTGCATTCTATTCATGTTGTGCTTTTAGAGTTTTAGCACCAGTTGACACATATTGTTCTGATGCCTTGGTCACGATGAATTCACATAAACTGTGAAACTTCCTATGCAATGTGTCCAATGTACATGACAATGTATGGCTTGCTGTCATCCTTGGATCAAGTTCAGAACAGAGATCTAAATACACGAAATCCTGTCCCCTCTCTGCTGTGCTAAACAAACACATCCTGCCTGCTTTTTATCTACCAATCGACCCTCTCGGCCTGCCCCTTCAAAACGGGGGAATACTAATTGAGTTTCTGGGCAGGAGACTGTGGCCTGAAACTCCGTGCGTCAGCTCCCTCATTATAATGCCCAGTGCGTGCCTCTCCTGCAGAATGGGCCCCGTACGTCATGCCATCCGTCTTGGCTTATTTCAGTCTTATTCTGCCCTGCTAATTGGCTGCATGGGGGAAAAAAGGGGGGGAGTGGGTTTCCTGTAGTGCATCACTGCTCAGCTAAAATGAAGAAAGAAGAAAACGGCAAACCATAAACAAAAGCCCCAAACGAAACAAAAATCCTAGGTTTTTCTGCAGCACAAGTTCACCCGGTTTTCACTCAAGGACAAAGGGATGAAGTAACAAAATTTTGCTTGCTTGTTGGTTCGCGCACGATGAGCCGCCTGAACATTTTACGTGGTAATTACCGATTAATTTCTTTAAACTGCACTCCCCTAAATATTGCACACTCACTGCCCCAGTACCGCATGGTATACAGGATACCCCACTCTATCAGTTGTTAAATCTGTCTATTCAAGTTATTTCCCAGTTTCAGGTGATGTGCCTTTGGAATACTTTTGTTCACCAGTGTCTCATTAGAGGCTAGAATGATGCCAAGAAATCTGTTACCAAATCCATAAATGTGGAGCGTTGTAGAAGAAATGAAGCTGTTTCTTTCAGTTCCAAAGTGGAGCCGACAAATTGAAGATGATTTTTGACGATCTTCCACAGATGCGCACGGAAACACTCGCGCCTGCGAAGTGTCTCAACAGTTTACCTTGCGTGACATTGTCAATAGAAATACACAGATTCCAAAATGCATGTGCCTGCACAGACATGGTATGCTTCCTGACACTCCTTTGCCTTTCGTGTTACGTCACGTGAAAAATAGACCTCTCAGTCCCTTTCAGATGCACTTGTCTCTGCAGAGAAAATACAGGTGAAGTTTGATAAATGCCTTGCCCCAGATTCCTCTCTCTAAACGTTTCTTGACCCTGTTCGTGACAAAACAAAACCAAAAAACACAGTCTGCTGACACCATTACCACTCAAATGGATTTCAATCCTGTGCCCATTTTCTCTGCTCGTCACTCTGTTTCTCTGCCATCCAATTCCTCCCCCAAACTCTCCCTGACAACCCAAGTCCGTCTTGAAAATGCCGCAATGAGAGTGGTTGATGGGATACGTGGGCTGACGTAATTAAATCAAACCGAACCGTCTGCCCCTTGTAACACCCCCCCCTCCCATCCACCGCTACCCTGGACAGCGGTCCCCATCACTTGTTTGTATCGTTCTGCACGAATTAATAACCTTGCCCCAGTTGCATATATTCTTTTGGGGGGGGAACGGTGGCGAAACGATAAAAAATGAAGCGCATTGGCTTTGGAGCGGTGAAGCATGCAACGCTAAATGCCAGCCAGACTGCATACCATGCCGAATGCTGAATTCCCACTGATGTATCGACCCCACTTCTACTGTCCGTTTTTCAATTTTTTTGTTTAGTGCTCTCAGAAACTGGTTTTGACCCATTTATTTTTCAAATCAAATGTCATACTAATGTGATTGAAGAGCATGCCTCTATGGTCTCTTAATGTACAGAGATTGTTTGTCATGATGGGAAACTGTCACAGACAGTTCTGGACGCAAACTGTTTTGGGAGATATTGGCGAGATCAGGCTTTGTTCAGAAAAGAAGCCCGTTTAGAAAGTAGTTGTGGAGACCTCAAATGTTCTCAAACCAAAATTCACCAGTTGTCAAGTTTTTGAGGATTTCTCAATGGAGATGAGACATCATTTGTGAAGATGTGGGAAATTGCAAGTTTTGCCGTGGGTTTCTCTATTGCCTTAATTGGAGAAGGGAAAAAAGCCCCAAAATGTGAGTTGGAATGGGTATGAAAAGAAATTTGTGGTGTGGTAGTAATCTTGTGTATTTGTACATTGGAATTGAAAGAGTTAGGTACACTGAGTGAAACAAAGACATTGGTCACAGTAACGTCACCTTTGAAGCCTGTTTGTGTCATCACCAGTTTCAGTTTCTCTTTTAAGTCAGAGTGTGAAGTCTGGTGAAGATACCAGTCTAGAATCCTGTTTTCAACTCTATTTTTTTTCCCCTCCTGTCGGTCATTTTGCAGAACGGAAGACATGGAGAAGGCTCTGGCAGCCTCCAAGGGCAAACTCTTCTTTGGCTGTGAAATGAAACTATCGATCTGGGATGGACCAGGTGAGATACACGTTTATCCCAGCCACATAGAATGCCCTGCTGGTTTGCGCATTTATGCATTTGTTGCTGTTTGTTGTTGACACAGAGCCAAGGTTTAATGTAGCATCTGATCTGCCTGCATGTGCTGGCTGGTCTATGGTTCTCAAATTAAAACATTAGGATTATTAAAACTCTGGCTGAAACTTCAGGGTACATCTGCGGAAGCCAGCAGTTTGGGTCTTCTTGCATTTCCAGTTGATGCATGTGTTACCAGCCGTCCAGACACTCCCGGTGTCTGGGAACAGAAGCTGCTTGTCTTCCATCAAAGTCAGGCTTGTCTGTTTGTCAACTCTGCCAAAGCTCCATTTTTAGGGGGGGGGTCATAACCTGTTACTTGTGGGCTATAAGCTTAAGGCCCTGATCACCCTGAGTCAGCCAAGACCCCGTCAGAGATGAAAAGTCTGGGTCATACAATCATCAAAAACTTCAGGCCTCAACCTCCCCCAAAGCCAGTGCACATCCTGTCAGGCTATATTCACTACCAATTCCCTACGGGGTCCCCCTGTTAATGTTTCAAAGTCCAGCCATGGCCAGCCGGGTTCCTCTGCCTGTTCCTTTTCTGGTACATCCATGGGACCTAATGGAGTACTTCCCTCTGATCTTCCTTTGTCCTTGGGGAAGAGAAGAGGGGAGGGGGACCCTTGGCCTTTGCCAGAGGGTTAAAAACAGAAGGAGGTAATTTAAGACAAAATTTTACGGGACCGTCTTTGAAATTGCTGTCGAGCACACTGGTTCTGTGCGCTGCACTTTGCTGTTTGGCGTTGGTAGCCATGGTGAAATATTGAAGTAGTTAAGCCACTTTCTTTTGTACATATGTATACCGGTATCAGGGTTTTTGTGTATACAGTCTGCCATTCTTAATTGAAAAGCAGGGAAAAAATAAAAAAAAAACAGGTGTACATGTGCATGCATGCATTTCTTCAGCTTTCAATGAAAATCAAAGAAATGCTGACACGTAAGATGACACCATACGGAAGACATCTCAATCATATTAAGTTTCCTTCGTATGTCATTGTATCAGCTGCAGGTGTACCTGCTTTGGAAACAAGAACAAAGTTGAATGTATTCTCGTCAAAATCACGGCGCAGTGTATGCCTCATATGTGCTTTCAGAAATCTTGACCACATGTACAAAATAAAGTTTATTGGGGGAAAAAAATGCCACATTAAGAAACTGGAGAAGTCGCTCCATTATGCGTTGGAATGGCGGGAGAGAATTAGATATGCAATCATGCCAGCACTGTGTCCCCTTCAGCATTACCATGGGCCTGATGTACCCAGTCTTCCCCCACCGTTCTGCTTTAACGGGGTCAGATCTGTACTCACTGGTAATTTGGAACACTCCCCTTGTGTTGACCTCGGTCACACAAGCATCCACCATGTGTCATTCGGTTTGAATCTAAAATTACCCAGGTACTGACTGGGTGCAGTTCTCCGCCAGATGGCCCAACTGCGTAATGACCGTAGATTTCTCTCCGGTACAAAAGCTGCAGGTCCCCCGCGACCATATTTGGTGTTAACCCCCCAACTGCCCCGGTTGGCACTCCACAGTGGAAATACCAAGAAAAACATCCTCAAAATAGTCCAAGTGCTGGCACGGTCTAGCAGGAGACATACTCTCTGGGCGACCTGCTAAATGATTTTCCCATGAAGAAAATGCCATTAGTAATGTACAGTGCATGTGGAGGCCACAAATTTTTGAGTTTAACCAGCATTATTGCGTTCAAAACCGTACCAGGACATCTCACTTCATCTACGTGTAAGCAGTTAAAGTGGTGTATTTGTTAATTTTTGGAAATTAACTATGACCCCGTTTCACATGCAGTCAACAGCAGCGCGCTGCTGTTAGCTCGTTCAGTCTTGCAATTCTGGCATTGCAGCAGCCATTTGCATGGATTTATGGTGCAGTCAACTTTACAAATGCAAAATTATGTTAATATTCACGCTACTAAAAAGTCAACTCAAATCACAGGGGATGTGTTGCAAATCCTGTTATACCCCAAGGGAGATCGTTCTTTGAATTGAAAATTCACACAAGGGACAATGAATAATTCAAACCATTAGATTTTCACAGGATTGTGGTCCCCCCCCCAGAAAAGAAGTCAAACAAAAATGGAATGCACTCTTTATAGAGAAAGTGACAGTTTGGCCCGTTGCCTGCGCATATGTAATTGCTAAACTATTCGACTCTGGCCGACCCATGCAGCGTGCAGAAACTGAATAATGCTGCCAGTCGGCCTCTCTTAAAGGTCATCTGCAGTGTGACTTTCCCAGTAATTGAGAAGTCTGTTTATCAGTACTAGCCTAAGCTTCATTTGGCATGGCCTTGCTGTTAATGTAAATTTATGCGGGTAACCCACCGTAACCAGACGATGCGTGGAAGATTGAATGCGTAAGCAAATACCATTTCAGCCAGAGGGAAGTTCAGGTAGATTGACTGGCCCACCCGTTGTTGCACTGTTACCGTTCCTACAGAAAATAGCAAGTGAACAGGAACAAGAAGTATCCACGTCTGTTCTAGTAAGCAGGAGGTCGTGGGTTCGAGTCCCACCCGAGAACGCTTTTTTCACAAGCCTTTGGGGGCATACACTGAGTGTACAGTGTCAAATACACGTCGGGCAGGGCAAAAATCCAAAATTAATTTACATCTCCCCGGTGCAAATCCATCTTTGAAATACAAAGAAGTACCCAATGAGGAAATGCCACGGATAATACGCGTGCCCTCTAAAGTTGATATGGATGAAATTTTTGACACACTGAATATCTTGTACTTCTTACATGGGAACTGTAAATGTGTCATTGCGTGCTGGCTTTTCCCTGTTGAGGTTTATGTTTCTCTGCATCCGGACATTCAGAGGGATCGTAGAGGGAAGTGTGCTTTATGAATTTTGAATTATCATTTTAATAGGTTGCTAAGAATCATGCTGTTTTAAAAATATCACCATCAGCAATTATCAACAACTTTTGCCAAATAATGTGGATTGGAGACGAGGAGACAAAGTGTGGGCGGGAAGAACCTTTTCCATCAGGGAAAAAGATTGTCGATGAATGCTAATTTTTGTCAACAAGTTGTGCTGTATTTTCATATTCAAGACTTTTGATTTAGAATCTATTGACTTTAATATATGTGGAATTGGCGAGGGAAAAATCCCAAGAGGAAAAAACCTTTCAAGACCGGACTTTTGGGGCAAAGGCTTTAGTCATCAGATGAAGAATACCAAGTGTATCTGCACTGTGTGAGAATTTTTCCCCGCGGTAGTCATTCATGTGCCGCCGTACTGGGATATCGGATGTAGGTAGTCCGAGTGACTTGGTGGTTTTAATTGTGGTTTTGATTCGTCACAGTTTTTGTTGAGGAGGGGGTCACGGTCTGTGGTATTGGCGTCTCTCATTCTCAGGCACTTTTCTGCAGTATCTGGAGGCTTGCCTTCATTGTTCAGTGCAGATGTTATTGTCGAGATAACCCCTGCATTTTTTCCCCTCAAGGCGGCGTGTTACCGTAATGGCGTGTTTGCAGTCGGGGTGGATTAGCAGCAAATGATACACTGGGAAAGTGCGGCTGATCTTTCGTGTTCTAAATCCCAAACTGTTCTTTAATTCATCTAAACATTCTCTCTCAAACGATGCATAGCTGATATCATGTGTGATTTCCCGTTTCTGGAATCTTTCTGTTTTGTTAGCTTGTCTCAGGAAGACAAAACACGTGCCTCGGTTGGGGGCTTCCTGGATGAAGGCCAAAATCTAGTTTAGACTTTCAAAACAGCCAAAACTGAAAGCATTTGGTTGTTACATGTACATGTGTATTGGTGTGTACATGTCCTCATATGCCCAGTGTACTATTGCACATATGAGTGAGGACGTGTACATGCACAGTAAGGCATCACATGTTGGATGGCCACTTTTTATGTCCTCGGATTCATGTGAGCACAGTTAAGCTTGTATCAAAGAACATGCATTCCTGTCTTTGAAGTTTTAAAGTCAATGTATTGATCTTCTTGGTTTAGACATTGGGGTGGACGACAGTGACGTCCGGTACTACGAGAAGGAGCTGGATGAGTTCCATCCGCGAGCGACGAGGACGCTCTTCGTGGGCAACCTGGACCGCACCATCACACGGGAGGAGTTGAAGGATGCTTTCCAGAAGTTTGGTGACATCGTGGTGAGTAGCGACTCTTTGTACAGAGTGTTACACATCTCTGAGTGTTGAAGTAGTCAAAGGGGATAAGGTCTAGTGTACTGGACTCGGTACAGGACCCCAACTCTATGATCGGCCTTGTGGGAGAGACTTCACAAGTTCACCAAAATGTTGTGTAGAGGTTCTCAAGCTTTGTACTTCCTCACTTCAGGACATTGAGATCAAGAAGCCACAAGGAGCGCAGCCGTTTGCCTTCCTGCAGTTCTCGGACATTGACAGTGTGGTCAGGGCCAGGAGGAAGCTGGACGGAGAAATTGTTGGCAAAAATAAAGTCAAGGTACCTTTTTTGGTCTGATTGGAACTTTAGGCATTCTTGGAGAAAGGGAACCTCAAAGTGTTTGAGTTTGTCCTGAAACTAAAAGGAACAATTGAAGATGGCACATTGCATACAGAGTATTTGTATTTAAGATTTGAGCAAGCATTTCAACATGGGATAGCCATGAGTTTAATGCAAATGCGTTTTTTCTTTCTTCAGTTGTTTCTGACATAATTTTGACCATCCTCACTCCCTACTACCACCCACCCCCCCTTTAGCTGGGCTTTGGCAAGAGCATGGCCACCAACTGCCTTTGGCTTGACAACCTGGCCACCAACACCACCGAGAGCTACCTGCGCCGCTTCTTCACCATGCGCTACGGCCCCCACGCCATCTCCCGCATCAGCCTGGACCAGCGCACCGGCACCGCGCTCATCTTCTTCTACAACATTGAGCATGCCCAGAAGGCCATGCAGGACATGAAGAATACGCGCATCTCCGGACGCAGGCCCAAGGTCAGGGGTCACTCTCTTTTTTTTTTTTTTTGCCTGAACACTTTTGGATCTGGTTGCTAGTCAGAGTCATGAAGTCCACTGTGAGACAGCCAGTGGCTGTCATAGCCGCAGCTACTACTTTAAGATGTAGCCTCACATAGAAAAGTCTATGAGGAAGTGGATACGTCCACTAGCCAGTGGCTTTCATTGATGCATGTGTTTATTTCAGCCTCAGCCTCAACTACGGTTGTAAGATTGCCTGAAATTTCCAGATTTCTGGAAATGCTGTTAAAAATGACTTGTTTTCCGCAAATGACAATCAGTTTCCAGGAAAAAAAATAAAAAAATAAAAAATGGTCAGTTTCCACTTTGATCTGTACGTGATATTTCCCTTTAAAACGGATATTTTTGTTTGTGAGTTTGCAATCGCAAGCTAGTGTAAGACCTGTGCCCTCTTCACAGCTAGCAAATATGGCAGCGCAACACCGCGACTGTGCGTAGGCTGCCAAGTGTGCGTTCCAATCATGTTGTGTTTACCGTGTTCGCTTTGAATAACTCCGAGTCCACAATTGGGTAGCAGTCTAGATGCTACTCACCAATATGCACATGCACAGGCCTTTCATGACCACTGTGCAAGTCCTGTCTAGTTGCAACCTCATCCCAAGGGCTTACTTCATCTCGAAACTCTTATAGTACTGATAGTGATGAGCGTGTATTCCTTAACATCCTAGGGATGAGGTTGTGAACTTCAGAAGAAAATTCCACCTCCAGTTCACAACTCGTGAACATGAGTTACCAGGCGATTGGAACACTGCGACCGTATTCGAACTGCTGATAAATCGCACATCAGTGGCGATGTATTTTCCATGTGTGTGGGAAGTTTTCAGTGACAGGTGACCGTGTTGGGATAGAAATTTTTGATCAACATGGAAATTGACCAGACAGCGGATATTAAAGAAATTGACAAGGGAATCAAGAATAAGGTTAAATGGACGTGGCTTGAGGAAAAGGACCAGGATGGATACTTTCTGTTGGACTTCATGCGTAAGCTTAATAACAGTGGCCAAGCCAAATGCACTATCTGCAACTACAGTGCTGGCCTGTGTAATAAATTATTCGTCAAGGGGGAAGAAAGCAATAAGTGGAAATGGTAACAATTAGTTGTCGTAAATTAGTAGGCTTTTGCAAATTCACATCGATGATTTTCAGGAAATGACTTTATTGGTCACTTAAATCCCTGCATGACTTATGGACAAAACCTTATGTTCAAATGTTCCAAAGGAAGGCCTTGAAATAACTGTGACCGCTGTGAGTGATAGGTATGTCTTTGCTTTAGATGTGGGGTGCAGATCCATGCCACCCCTAATGTCAAGATCTAAAGAACTGCAGTATTTCACAGATTTAAGACAGTTCAAGAACCGTTACTTTTCACATGCCTTGACACCCCAGGTTTGTTGAAGTACAGCGAGTATGGTGTTTGTATTTACATCGAGTAATTTACCATGTTACCATTAATTCCGATTTCAACCCAAAGCAGAGATTATAATTCATTTGTCCCCCTCTTTTTTTTGGTGCAGGTCGACTTTGCCAGCAGAGAATGCCAAAATCACTTCTTTACTCGGCTGGACAAGTCGGGTCAGCTCCCCTACCATAGTAGAGACGGCTCTCCCAATGACCGCAGTTTCAGGGAATCACCGAGGTAAGGATCTAACTGGATGTCGGAGATAAAGTTCTAAGAAGTGTCAGTTGTGTTTTCAGTAGATCACAGATTTGGTCGCTGCACCAGTGGTAAATCTGGCTTGGATCAACCTGTATGCTTGCACGAGAGGAGGTTTAGAGGAGTCTGCTACATGTGGATACGTACCCATTTGTGGCCTACAAGTTCAACCAATGAGGTCTGTTCTGGAGGATTTACACCAGTTGCCTTGGGGAAATAGATCGTTGTGAAGGCCCAGGAATGGACATCGGGATGAAGTCTTGTTGCGTAGTGCTGCTAAAGAACCGCTGGGCCCAAAGGATAGTCTTCTGTATGGATGCATGTATTTAGTGTAATCAAGTGTTGTGGATGCATTGATTTGGATAAATCAAAACATGAGGAGAAAAACTTGTTGATTCGTCCCTGGGGATTGTTGGCAGTGTTGGCAGACAAGTGGATGACTTGATCACCCACCATAAGCCATCTAAAAAGGAAGTAAACTGATACGCATACATCAAAATGCTGTTCAACAAACCCACGTGGGGATTTAAACTCATCTGCAAATATCAACGTAGATGCTGAACTTGTGGATTGTAGTTTGACTCAGGGTAACCTTCTGCATTCCCCCGGCCACATCTTCAGTGGAGCAGCCGCTTGTCTTGTTAGTCTTTGCTGAGGTGTTTTTGGTTCTGGAACACTTCAGGTTCAACAGAGAATGATGTGATAGCATGGCGCTGTCTGTGGCTCTGATGTTGAACATGCCTTCAACCCCTTTGGGAATGCCAGGAGTTCAACATCGGAGGTGCGAACCACTCATTCACTTGTTTTCCAGGGAGTGTTTACAGTTACAGCTTGCCGGTTCCCCGTGGAGTAGGCCATGGGTGTGTTTGTTTGGTTTGTGCGTCAGGGCACACCTGCTGACAGGGAGATACCGTGGCTCAGCACAGTGTAAGGAGCTGGATGAAAGCGAGAAGATGTATTGGAAGTAGCACACTGGATTGCCTGCGGGCTTGGGAGTTCGAAAGAGTAGCTCTGCGGTTCTATATACGTGGTTACCTTTTTCCCTGCAGAGTTGTGAGTCATGACCGTTTATAGGCAGGAAGTAGCAGTGACATCACCCCCGTCAATCTTGGCTAGCACAAATGATAATAGACAATCTTGCCAAAATAATATGACTCCATGAATCTTTGTCCACGTGCCCAACTTGGAATGACTTACCCAAGTCAGAATTTGGGCGTTTCTACCACCTGCCTAGCGTGACCACCCATCAAACCAGCTGCAGGAACAAATGTCGTGCATCTTTCACTGGACACCCACTCCTGCCCAAATCTCTGTGTCAAATGTTCCCTCGGAGACAGACTTCAAATGATGCAAAGGAGAATGGGCAAATCTCATCACCTTCGTAGCTGCTGCAAGACTTGGGGGGGATGTCGTCAGGGATCATTAACGGCTTCCTTCCAGTATCACTTATCTTCCGTCAGTTACCTGTCAGGTGCTCATCATGCTGCCTAGGATGCCTGTTATATAAAGAAGTCCCTTATCCCCTTCTCACCGGGAACTGGTGACCGGCCCACGCTCGAGCGAACACGGTGAAAGAAGGCATACCCTGGCGCTTGTATATATGGTGATTGGCCTTTGTGTGTTGCCAAGAAATGAAGGGGCCGAATTTGCATCATAATCACCAGCTTCACAATAGTCACCGCTCTGAAAAGAGGCTACGGGAATGTGGAAGCTTGAGTAGGGCCACATTCCACCGAACAATGAGCCTTTTCACCGTGTAAATCAAAGCGTGCTGAGGACGCAGGTCCACAAACCGATAATTTGCAGTTTGGCAGGTGACCTTCATGGTTAAGCGAGGCTGGAATTCTCGGAGCTGGCTTTCAGAAAAAAGTCCTGACGTCAAGGGGTTAAAAAGTCAACATGTCTACCAGAAAATGTTGAGCATTTGACAAAGACAGTATGCTTGTGTAGTTTGTTGTTGTTCCAAGTTCAGCCTAGTGTCTTTCTCAGCTCTTTTTGTTTAGATTCACCTTGTTCTATATGATGTACCTCCATCGTCTTTTATAAATACTAGATCCACGCACATTTTCTGTTTATGGGCATACAATTCCAAGACTGAAAAGCACTGTGAACGGTGAATTCCTTTAGTAGAAATCATTGTTAACAAATTAGAGAACTGTTCTGTGAAATGAGTCCCGAGTTGCCAGAGCCACTTTTAAGTTGCAGGTCTTGTAAAGAGTCTTGTACTATTGAAGTCAGCAGAAACCCTGAACATTTTTGCCCCCAACCATCTCACTTATTATCAGGATACCAGACTAAGTGATTAAAACAAAGAGCTTTCCTTGCTGTTTCTCCAACAAACTGAACAAATTTCTGAGACACAAAAAAGTGGCCTCATGACTCATTTTCACAGACCAGATCACATTTGTTTACAGCATAGAATTTATGAATGTTTTCCCTTTGACGTTTTTTTGGTGCAGTGAATACCACAGCACAGCACGTAACTCCCAGTCCCGTCGCATCCGGTCGCAGAGCAACCACGCCTCCCCTGGCAACTACCACAGTTCCCTGGGGCTCTACAGCGGTGGCAGCAGCACCGACGACCAGCGCTTCTTCAACAGTCAGCCGGGGAGTGGTGAGTTCTACCGGGGTGGCGCCATTGAGCGGGGGTCGGTGGAGAACAACGGGGCCGGGGGCTTCGACGGCGAAGACTCCTACGAGAGGGAGTTGCGAGAATACGGGTATCACCAGCGGGAGAGAAAAGAGCAACAGCACAAGGAGAGGAGTCGCAGTCTTAGTCCCAGAGAAAAGTATGTATTTGTTAACAAACTAACCCATCTAATAAACCAGAAATATAACAATGTCATACTTTTTTCACATGTGCGCTTCCCTGTGGGGACTTGACAGATGGCGTCATGTGAACATGTAAATAAGGCATGACATCGGAATATCATAGGTCAATTAGGGATGTAAATCTTGCAACATTCCGAATCGTAGGAGGGCTTTTTAGAATTCTAATGCAAGATTCATTTCTGATTTGTCAGAACCTATTTATAACTCTGCTCCAATCACTTTAAAATGGTTCTTGTAGATCTTGTGACAAATACTGAATATAGGTTGTGCACTGTTGGTGTCTCAGAGGTCTTTTTTTGTTATTTTGATAATTACTATGCATGCACAAAAATCTTTACTTAAGTGTATCCCAGAAAAAGAAATACCCTTTAATGTGATGTCATGCGCATGAGGCCTGTAGGTGTGGATCTGTTTGTCACTGAGTGTGGTCATCATTATTAGGAATGATGATTGTTGCCTGTAAGTTTCAAGCGTTTTTCCCCTTTGACTTAATTTTGAACAGTAGTTGGAACCAAAGATCGTATAGCGCCGCGTAGCGTTGCAAGATGGGGAACTTCACCATGAATACGCGTAAAACGTTGTTATCACATGGGCGCCATTCTGGTTGAGCTACACCTGCGCAGTGCATGTTAATGCGCAGGCGCAGCGACAGGCACGCGCACACATGAACGTTCACACTTTATGGCTGAATTACCCATCTTGCGCCGCTACGCAGCGCTACATAATCTTTGGTTGGAACTGTGTTGAATGAAAACCTTATTTACTGCCCTTTGTGAAACATCCAACTCAAAATCTTCTTGGTCTTGCTGAATGCGACTCGTATTTTTGAGTGACTAGTTTAACAGAATCTCGTCAGTGTATTGGAAAAGCAGTGGATAGAACAAAATGAAAATTGCTTTGAATTGATATTGGTCCCATTGTTTACTCTTCCATAATTCATAAATATGGTTCTTGATAGCATATAGCCGTATCTATGTAGACAGTGCTCTGATCAAAGCAATGAAACAGCAGTCAAAACATAGGCAAAGAACATATCATGCCACACTGCTTCAGTGCAAAGACGCCAGTTTTAACAAGGTGTGTTTAGGCTTCTTTGACCTTATTTTCAGGTTCTGGACAAGAAAAGAACCTGGCCGACATCTTTGCTGGTGTTTGCTGGTTGCACCCAAAATGCATTGAAATAGTGGTGAATTAATGACTTACAGCATCCGCATCTTTTTTTTCTCAGGTCGTACGAGAGAAGGCGTTGTAGTGGCAGTGTGGAATCTCAGGAAGTCAACACCCCTACACAAAGCCCCTACCACAGCAGGAGTGTCAGTCCAGTGGCTTGCCCCAGGAGGAAACGAACTCCTCGTAGTACTGTAACTGTTCATGGATCGGAACGGTCCTACACACCAGTGCAAAGTCCCTCACATGAGGAGAACTATCGGGATGAGAAGGACAGGTGGAAGAGCAGGTTACTAGAGGGATCGGACGAAAGAGGATCTTCTACGGAGCGCAGTGAAACCAGACACAAATCCAAGAAATCCAAGAAGAGCAGAGACTCTGACGATGACAGAAGCGACAAGTCGTCCAGGCTGAGTGAGAAATCGCTCAGTAAGTCAAGCGAGAAGTCCAAGCAGAAGCGGGACCGACTGGAAAAATCGTTGGAGTGTTTGAAGGTGATCCGGTCCAAGGATGCTGCCTTGAAACATGACAGGACTAAAGTTGAGAAGCGGCTGGAGAAGTTAAACTGTGATGCACGGCAGGAGAAATTCAACTCGGATATACGAACAGATAAGGTTAACTGCGAGTTGAGAACTGACAAGTTGTTAAACTGCGATGGAAGGACAGAAAAATTGTCTGTGGAGGAGTTAGACGAAACTGATAAACCCAAAGATAAATACATGAAGAAGTTGAAATTGAATGACTTGGATGACACAAGACAGAACAAAGTTCTTGAGAAGGAAAGGACTAGTGAAATTGTACGCTCCAAGGACACCTCTGGTTTTGATGCCAGCAAAATGCAGCTGCCAAATGAACCTGATATTGCCCGAAAACGGCGGAGAATAGCTGAGGTGGATCAGCCCCAGTCATTGCTTAAGCCTGTTGAAAGTGATGAAAACATGCGCAAACTGGAAGCACGCAGGCAGCGCTTCAGTGACAAAAGTCCTGTGGACATCAACAAGATGCGCAAGAAGGAAACGATTAAATCACCAAACAGTGATAGAACGTTGCAAAATAAGGTACCCAAGTCGGTGATCAGTAAACCTTTGGGTGAACTGTCGCACGGACATGGTGATTCTCTCAAACATGATACCTCTTCAGAGTCCCACTTCAGTAGGGACACAAGAACAGTGATTGAAAGTAAGCACAAGCCAGTTCGAGAAAGGCTCGGGACCAAACATGAAGCCTTGATACAACTGGAGTGTATTAAATACGATCCCATGGAGAGGTTCAATCGTAGTTTACTGGAGAGGAATGAGAAGGATTTAGACATGTCTCCCTTCTCCCACATCCCAGAAATTCAGGACAAATTGGTCCCAAGTGGTGGTGGTCCGAGCCGACCCGCGAACTCAAAACTGAATAAGGATGAAATCCCCGCACTCAAACTCAGCAAGGTTTTGGTGGATAGTGGCAGTCAAGACAAAGGGGTGGACAAACCCAAAAAATCTTCCCCAGAAATGGGACGATTGGATAAATTCGTCCGTGATAAAAACCACCCACATTCCAGTCTCAGTACGAGTAGTGGCATCAGGCCACCACAGAGGGATAAAGTCCGCATCCAACATCTTCTGGACATGGATGAAGGCATTGCAAGCTCGAGCGATCAGGACACACCGGAAGTTGATGAAGATCAAAACAGCAGGCAGGGGCGAACCTCCAGGAGCAGCAGCAGTGGGCAGGGACCTTCATCATCCACGTCCTCGTCAAGCAGTAAACCTGCTGTCCAGGACATGTTTGAAAAGCCTCACATTGACACCAGCCTCAGCTGCCGGAAACAGATGGAGATTGCGCGGAAGAGCTTTGAGCAGCAACTACAGGAGAGGGAGACACAACCTGACCAAGAGGAATTTAATGGTCCAGTGCCCGTGCTGCCCCCTCCGCCCCCTCCACCAGCTGGCAACTCTGAGTCCAATCAGAGTGCAGAATACTCTGGAAAACTCAATGAGAAGGAGAAACCTGTTGAATCAGATGGCATCATCCAGGAAATGGAATGGAAGCTCCATAAAATTACTCTGGTGGAATTCTTTCCAAAAAGAAGGCGGAGGATGTCGGAATCCCAAGCTGGCGGTGGAGATGATGGCTTATATCCGAAGCGCGGTGGATTTCGTGCCCGTCGGCAAAGCGAGGATGGGCTAAAGTCCCCTGGTGGAGTTTCAGATGTGCCAGTTGATCCACGTATACAAGGATACCCCGTGGAACAGGAGAAGCAAAATTCTGTTCCACAGAAGGAGGAAGTAGTTGATGCTGATGCAACAAAATCGGAGGTTGCTTCAGTCCAGAGCCAATCTCTGGAGCTCAATGTCAACATTCCAAATGATGGTGAAGCATTGCCGTTGCTCTCCCCAAAACCAATCAACCAGCCCATTGTAGTATCAGTAGGGGACACATCTTCACCCTCAACTAGTGCACCCATCCTCAGTCCAGCTGTAACGCCTGTGAAGTTGGACAGACGCCCGCTGTTGACAACGCATGTTGAGAGTCCCTTTCGACATGTTGGTCCGGATCCTACCATGGAACACCTTACCAAATTAAAGACCTCTCTGGAGAAATGCAACTTTGTGAAAAATCTTGAAAAATCTAATCATGTTGTCTCTCCACTGATCTCTGAAACGAAGCCTGGCCTGACGTCAGTCTCGGACCTTCTTGACTCTGAGAAGAAAACTGAGGACGTTCCTCCAATCCTGAAGAATGAAAGCAATACATTTGACACACCAGAGCAGAAGGTGCCCACTCTTAGTAAAGTACCATCTTTAAAGGATGCTGTCTCAGCCGTGCTTGAGCGCAACAAGATGAAAAAACTGCCATCAGGGAGTGCCCAACAAGAATTATCAGTCAGTACAGCCTTTACACAACAGCAGGATCTACTGTCCGGCATCAAAAAAGAGAACATTGTGTCAGATATGGTTGGACGTGAGTTTAAAGGAAGTTGTGACACCCCACCTACCACACCCCTGACCCCAAATACCCCAAGCACCCCAGGAACTCCAGTGGAGGTCAAATCAGATGTACTGTCCACAAAGTCCAGGGTGGAGCGATTGAATCTTATCGGGCGAATAAAGAAGAAGGCCAAGAGCACCGAATCAGAGCCAGCAGTGCTTGATGGGAGGGAGCCACAGAAGGCTGGAGAGCAAAAAGTAGAGACCTTTACATCTCGTCTTCTGAAAAGGAGTAGCATCTTTGACCAGGACTCTGCCCGACTGCAGCAGAGTGCCCATTTGAAGGACCCCGTGTCACAAGGTTCCAACAGGAAGTTTAACTTCCTTGAAGGAATGCCAGCCTTGACAACTACAGATTTACTCATGAGGGGGAAGATAGAGGGCAAAGAACTGATCCCAGATGGTCCACTGGAGAGAAGAAACTCAATCTCTGGGAGTTGGGTGTCTTCTTCAGCACGATCCCCACTGACAGTGTCAAGCTCCCTCCGCAGATCAGGGAGCACCACCACAGCTGCAACAAGTATGACCTCACCTTCTCTGCCGTTGTCTGCAGGAATTACCCGTGACAAACCTTCCCCAAATCAACAATCCCAGCGTAGTCAGACCTTCACCACATCATCTAAGGAAGAGATCACTCCTGTCTCTATTCTCCGTGATCCACGGAAAGAGCATAGAGAAGAAGTTCGCAGAGATACAGCAAAGGAGGAGTCGCGCAAGGAAGCAGTCAGCACAGAAGATCCATGGAAAGATTCCTCAAAAGAGTCTCCATCTTTGCCATCACAGAAAGATGAGCCTCCTAAGATAGGCACTGCGTTGAAGGACCCCAAAAGGGAAGCAACAGGCTCTCGGGAGGAATCAATGCGGCCAAAGTCAATCCTAAAGAAGGACACATCTTCTGAATCAGGTCCTGCTACTGCAACATCAAAAACGACTCCGCATCTTGGAGAGCCAAATGCCCCAACATCGGCAAAGATTGAGACTGAGAATGGACCGAGAGGAGCTGACCAGCTCAAACTGAAGAGGAAGCGATCACCCAGCCCTGTGAAGTCTCAAGAGAAGTCATGTGACACATCAACCAAGGTGGCTGCGAATCCTTCGCCGAAACCTATACTGAAAGCAGTTGTCCGAAAATCACCACCCAAGAAAGTTCCTCCAAAGCTTATTGCCAAAGACAGTACTATCAAAAAAACCACTACCAGTGGTACATCTGTTAAAGAAACAGTTAAAGCAAACAAGGACTCCCCTGCCACTGCTAAATCACTTGTCAAAAAGGTGTCAAAAGACCTTAAGGATGCGAGAGATGACAAAAAATCCACTGGCCAGCCTAAATCAGCAGAGAAATCCTCAAAGCACACAGAAAAAGCTAAGGACGGGAGGGACAAGGAAAGCCTCATTTCAAAATCGAAGGAGGGAAAAGAAAAAGATGTCTCAACAGGAAAGGGGAAAGATTCAAAAGAAAAGCTGGATTCCAGTAAAGCAACAGCCAAGGAATCTGCAAAGGTGGATTCAAAATCATCCCATGCTACAAAGGCCGTAAGTGATACGGATGTGAAGCTTCCTAAGGGCAAAACAGATAAGAGCACGAAACCTTCTTCAAAGCCGCCTGATCTCAAGAAAGCCACAAAGGACAGGAAAGACTTAGTTGTCGCAGCCGAGAAAACTTTGCATGAGTCAGATTCAAGTAGTTCAATATCAAAACTTGCTGGTGATAGTGCAAAAGATTCAAAAGCAAAGGAGTCCAAACCATCTTCAGAGAAACCGAAACTTAAAGAGAAACACAGGGACAAACCCAAGGAGAAAAATGAAAAGAAAGAAAAGGACACTGAAAGGAAGGAGAGAGAACTGGAGAAGAAAGAGAGGGACCATGAAAAGGGCAGGGACAAAGCCAGATCCAAGGACAAAGAGAAAGAAAGAGACAAAGATAAAGGAAAATCAGCTCATCAGGACACACTAGATTCTGTAAAGAAGCTGGAGGAGACGCCAGTGAAGGCACCAAAGCAGCCAGCAAGGGGAGTTGCTGCCCTGTTGTCCACACTGTCCAGTTCAGATGACAGTGAGGACTCTGAGACTGAACTTCAGCTGAAAGCATTGCCCCAGGAACCAGCAAAGATGTCTAAGCAAAGGTCAAGGAAAGACCGGCAGAGGGTCATCTACTCCTCAGAGTCTGAATCAGATGCAGATGAGGATTTCTTTGAGGCCAAGATCTTCTCTCCCAAGAAGCCCAAACCTGACATTGCACCAGCTGTAAAAGAAGATTTCAAACTAAAAGTGGCTGATGAAGGGCCAGAGAAGTTACCCAAATCCAAAGACAAGAAAAAGAAGAAAAAGGAAAAGGAGACTGAATTTGAGAGAAACAAGAACAAAGATGCAGCTCTCCAGAAAGAGCAGAAGGAGGTAGAAACTTCGAAGCAGGAAAAGGAAATGCCTGTGGAACCTGAAGAACCAGAGGCAACACAAGATTCAAAGAAATCTTCAAAGAAATCAGCATCACGGAAGACCAAAGGGAAAAAGAGCAAAGACTCTGAAAAACCTAATGAGTCAAGCAAGCAGCCAGAATTGCCCACTGATGTTCAGAAAGATGATCAAAGTCCAGACGATACAAAACCATTGATGAGAAAGCAGAAGGTCACCTCAATGGAAGTCAAGGTGGAACCAGAGAAAGCAAATTCCAAGGCTCATGGAAAGGCAAGCAAACATAAGAAGAAGCAAGACGAGCAGTGGGGAATGCTCCCTGAAGAGCCTGAACCTACTTCTGAGATCACAGATAGTGACCTGTCATTCAAAACATCTTCTGGGGAACCTGATAGCAAAGCAGTCTCAAAAGTGGGTGATGACTTTGAAAAAACTGTGAAATGCCACAATAAACCAGTGGATATACCTGAACCGGAAGATGAAAGTACTCTAGAATTGGAAGTGCCTGTTAAATCCAAAGAGTCTAAAAGACATAGCAAATCCAAGAAGAAATCAAAGAAAGAAAAGAATGCCAGCTGTGGTCCCTCTGTGGTGCCGAAGTATGAGATTGAAGAAATACCGTCTTCAATTAAAGAGGAGCCACACAAAATGTCTGATTTTTCAGACGATCTCCCCAAGCTTTCACTTGAAGCACCAATCTCATCAGAGCCAAGTAAAGAAGCAGTGCAAGAGACCTTGGATTTGCCACCAGATGATCTTGTGGCAGTCGAGGCATCACCAGAGAAACCCCCATCCCTCGTCTCTGGGGACCAAGTGGATAAAGTATTAGCTGAGCCCATTGATGAAGAGACAGAATCTGAAGCTGCCATTCAGAAGTCAAGCAGAAAGCGTTCAGGGAAAGGGAGATCACCAAGGAAAGGGTCTCACAAGAGAAAATCCAAGAAAAGGGAGGGAAGTAAATCGAGAGACAGGTCGAGAAAATCAGAAGTCATGTCTGACGATCTTGATAATGAAGCTGCTGTCAAGGAAGCCCTCGATAAAAAGTTTTCCAAAGTTGGCGGACTAAATATTACTTTACCTTCTAAAGACGAAGAGCCCGTAATAGCTAAGGTGGAGGATACCAGTGAAACCAAAGATGGGATGGGAAGGGAATCAGGGAAGGTGGAGCACCTTGAGGTCCAGGAGACTACCGAGTGTGACTTTTCTGATCTGGAGGTTCCAAAGACACCAACGTTTGAGCCAATGTCTCCTCATCTACCCACAGAGGAGGAACTTGAGTTGGAAAGAGGTGCTAAGAAGCTCCAGAGCCTCCTTGACGAGGAGGTTGAAAAACCAACTAGTCCTGGCCCAAGTGAGATCAGAAACCTGTTCCCAGCCCTACCAAGTCCAGCACTGACAATTCAAAGTCCTCCTCAAACCCTTCAGAGTCCACTGCAGAGCCTCCAGAGCCCACCACAAAATCTCCAAAGTCCCTCAGAAAATCTTCAAAATTTTCAAAGCCCCCCACAAAACCAAGAGAGCGTGCCTCAACCCTATCAGAGTTTCCCACAGACTTTTCAGAGTCCCCCCCAAGTCAAAGAAGCAGAGCTGGAGACTGTTGGGGAGATCAAGACCACTCCAGAGAAACAGGTTTTGTCAGAGGCAACAGGAGAATTTGTGCCAGAGAGCGAGGTTGAGCGGTTGGCCTTGGAGGCAAAAAAGATCAACTCTAATCCTGAACAGGCCCCACTTGTCCCAATTAATATGCCCACTATGAAGGAACCCAAAGAGATTATTACAGAGCTACCATATGTACCAGTTTTTGAGGACCCAAAGCCTCCTGAACAGATTGAGGACACTAAACAGACTGTCAAACCTGAACCAAAACGGACAAGAGGAAAGCGAGGCCGCAAACCCAAAACAGTCAAAGAGAATCAGGGCAGAGCAAGGACGATTGCAGAGATCATCAACCTTACTCAGCGTAGCGAAAACAGAGCCCTTGAAAATACCCAGCCCAAAGAAGAAACACACGAGACATTCACTTTGCCAGAGGTCAAACCGGCTGAACCAGATCTCCTCACTGAAGACAAACTGCCCCCTTGGAAGCAGTTCTTGGGTATTCCTGCCACTGGAGCAATGGTTTTGCAGCCCCCAATCATCAGCAACATTATCACTAAAGGGGATCCAGAGACAGGATTAAAAGTTGCAGCTGGACTTGCAGTAACAGGAGTGGAAACTCAAGCAGCTGAAGGGAGACAACAGACACAGGCCGAGGTAGCAGAGACGGAAGAGGCTGTTGCTAATATCTTGGTAGCTGAGGAACCAGTTCCTCTTGAGCAAACTCAGAGCATAGTCAGTGAGGAGAAACCAGTTGCAGTTGAAAAGGTGTCAGAAAATCAAGAGCACTTCAAGGACAGCAGATTTACAACTTTTGACTCTAAGCTGAAGGAAATGTCCAAAGAATTCCCCAAGGATCAACAGAAGGATCCTAAAGCTGTATTTGGGTCACCGAGTCGCACCAAAGAGGGCTCTATTTTTGGCCATCGTGCAAGGTCAAACTCTGCAACTGGCTCAGAAATGCTGAAACCTGGGGATATTAGTGTGTATGATTTCACTGACGATGAGCAGCACCCACTGAAGCCCAGCAAACCAAAGACAAACCTTGAAGCAGCTCCTAAGGCCCCTCCAGCCTCAGAATCCCTCATCAGCCTTGTGGCTTCTCCTGTGTCGGCTGCAGACTGGGCCAAGAACAAGGTGGCCAGCTTAAAACAGGCTGCTGAAGAATTAAGACGGCAGGAGGCAGCTGGTCTTGATGTATACGATTTTCAACCCAGCCCAAGCCCGAATGAAGTTGTCAAGGGATCTCCAGGCAAAGCAGCTCCCCGGCCAAGGCGATCGTCCCGTGGAAGGGGTGCTGGACGTGGACGAGGACGAGGCAGAGGCAGAGGGCGGGATTTGGAAATCGGTTCTGAAGGAATCAAGGATCAATCAGCTGCAATGGTCCAGCAAGCAGATACTGTCACTGCACTTCTGAAGCTTGGAGAGTCTTTTAAATCAGGAGGTCTCCCTGTGGCTGGTGTCATGCACCAACTTGAGGGTCCCCCTAGAAAACCTGAAGAAATTCCTACAAGCTTGATGATGGTGTCCTCAGTTCCAGCATCTATTGCACTACCTGATGCAAATCTTATCAGAACAGTTGCATCTGTTTCTAATTCTCAAATCTTGTCCCCTTCACCCCAACCAATGTTTAGTGAGTCCACCACTCTGAGTTTAGGAAATGTTTCCACTTCTTGTGTTGTAACTTCCTCTTCGAGTGTATCACCAGTCATGACCTCTTCAGTACATCAACCCCAATCAAATACAGTCACACCTGCAAGCACTACCCTTTCCCATTTCTCACCCACGTTGGCCCCATCAGCAGCTAGTACAGCCACAAGCATGCCCGCTGTGGTAGCAGCCCTAGAAAGCCCTATAGGCCAGAGAGCCACCCAAGAAATTGCTGGTGTAGCTCCCAAAAGACGACAGCGAGCATCCCGTGGACGACGAGACTCCAAGACTGAGCTGGAGAAATGGGCCGGTGTCCAACAGCAATTTCAGATGAGTCAGTTCCAGACACCTCAACAACAGTTGGTGGCTGCACACTTCCAACAGGCAGCGATGCAAAAAACAATGGAGCAACAGGCAGCTCTGCAAAAAAACTTAGAGCAGCAACAACAACAGCAGCAGCAATCATTGCAGCAGCAACAGCAACAGCAGCAGCTCCAACAGCAACAACCCCCATTCAGTAGGGCAGCAGAACAACCTCAGATGATACCACTGCATCAAACAGCAGCTGCAGCCATGCAAGCCCAAGTACAAGCCCAGATTCAGGCACAAATGAATGCGCAGCGGGCAATGACACAAAATTCACAGCAGCTGCCTTCCCAATCCCAGGGCAAGCTCCAGACCCTTCCACAGCATCAGCCTCACGGTCAGACCCAACAGATGTCTGTCCAGACACAGGCCCAGGGCCAGGGGCAAAGTCAGGGCTCAGGGAGTGCTACTAACCAGCGGACCCTTGTGAGCCATGCACAGCTGGAAGCTCACCTTCAGTCCATCACAAGGCCAGACCAAAATCAGCAAAAGCAGATCTCCCCTCAAATGCCCATCTCGACAGCGAGTGGGATGTCACATCCTGCTCTTCAAGTGTCACCAAACTTTTCCTCATCTGGATCTGTATCGGTGGCTACCACCTATCCAGGACTGCCAAGACAAGGTTCACAAACCATCACAACACTTGCTGGTCACCCATTTGCTGTTACAATGCCCTCTGCTTCTGTGTCTACAATGGCCAGCCCTGGTGCAACATCCAAGATGTCCACCTCTGCTAGTGCAAACTCCACAGCTTCCAACACAGTCACATCTGTTATCACTGAGAACAAAACTGTATTCTCAAACATGCCATCTTGCCGCGTACCAACCTCAGTGGCTAGTACATCCTACCCAGATGCCAGTGTCCTCCGAGCACGTCTCACACAGTCAGACCCGTCGAAGCCCATGTTGCCGCCAAAAAAGGAAAAGCTAGGTCACTCAATTGCTGCACCTCCATGTGCCATACAGCAGGCTTCTTTCGAACCCAGGACTAACAAATCAGAAAGTGCTAAGAACCCAGCAGGTGAGACACAGCAGCAGCAACAGCAGCAGCAGATGATGACAGATAGCCCCAAGGTGGCACATGTGGAGCTGCAACGGGGTGTACATCCTTCCATGATGGCTGTTTCGCAAGCCCATCAACCTCAGCAGCAGCAACAGCAGCAACAGCAGCAACAACAGCACAGTGTACAGAAAGAGGACCAGGAAAGAAAAAGATCAATAAGTGACCAACAGAGAGCTGCAGCAACAGAAGCTTGGGTGCGTGCCTCGGTAGAAAATAGACAAGTACCAGCAAGTCCTGGAATGCCACCGATCCGCACCCCGGATGGGCAGGTTTTGTTCTTACCACGAGGAGGTGGACCCCGGCCCGAGCTCATGCATCCAAACCAACATGTCATGATGCCAGGCGGTCATCCAGGTGAAATCATTTACCCGGCCATGATGCCTGGTCATCCGTATTTTGCCGACCCTAATAAGAAGGAGAAATCCCCCAACAGTGTGCCCCCTGCAGTTGCCGCTCAAGGAATGATGTCGATTGAATCTGGTAAAGCCGGCGTGCCACAAGCTGTGTATCTCCCAGGAGCCTTGAGAATGCCTTACCCACGGATGATTGTCCCTGGTATGGAGAATCAACCGGCTGTGATGCATTCACCTGGTGGTCGGATAACATCCCCCAAGGTAGCACCTGGCACTGCCACTTCTCCAGCTCTCTCTCCAAGGGTGAAATCTCCAGCTCTGGCACACAGTGAACACCCCCGTCCAACCTCCACCCCGGATGTTCAGAAGAGTGGTGAGTTGCCCCCTCATGGCATGATGCAGCAGCCTGGAATTATCTCAGGCATTCCGCCCCGGACACCTGGCATCACATCAGGAATCCCGCCGCAGAGGTTTGACCTGCCGGCTGGTACTATCATGCCAGGTGCCATTGTACACCGCGGCATGCCGCAGATGATCATGCGGCAGCCCACCTACAGCATCGCTGCCTCCCGTGCCTCGCAGAAGCAAGAGGAGCATGCAGAGCTGCATCACCAAGAGAAGCAGCCCCCACCCCACCTGCAGATCCCGTCAGATGCCATGCACCGCCGGACCCCACAAGGAATGGAAGCCCACATCCAGATGCAGACGCAGCAGGCTTTCCAGGCTCGCCAGATGGAGCTTGCCAGGCAGGGGATTCACCCGTCAGAGAATGAGAATGCGTCAACACCCAGACCGCCAAACCATGACTACCAGTCGCTGCCTGGGCGGGAGACACCAGTGTGGGTGACCCATGGAGTTGCTGGCGTGTCCCCCTTGGCTCATACACCAGTTGGAATGCACCCCAGCCAAACCAGCCCATCTCCAAGGACCAAAGGACCAGATGCTCTTGTGGGACTTCTCAGTGTGAGAACCTTGTTTCCTTTCATACAGTCCTATCTTGATACTTGATTTGAAAGAGAAGCATATTTACCAGAATATGAAAAGACCTGTTCAAGAATTTCCAAGAGAGTGATGTGCCTTTATTTGTCTTTACTGCTTCAAAAAGGTTAATGTACTTCGGAAGGAATGTTGTATAAGGCTCATCACCAGGCAGTAGCCGGTATGCTGACATATTAAAAAGGCTTACCTCCCTGACAATTTTTCACTTGACCATCTCTCCCGTGTCTCTCAATTCCAGCGCTACCCTGTCATGTGGCAAGGCTTCCTCACCCTCAAGAACGACGTTGCGGCCATCCAGATGTACTACGTGTCAGGCAGCCAAGCGGTAGCCCAGGAGTCGTTGCAGAACACCCACCAGACGCTCCGGATAGCTCAGCGCATGAGACTAGAGCCGTCTCAGCTTGATGGTGTGGGCAGAAGGATGCAGGTGTGTACTGCTCGGTGAAGTCCCAATCATCACTTAAATTCAATGCTTTAATACTTTAGTGCAGAATTCTCTCATCCTGAGTGTCAAGCTCATCAAAACAGAAATGAACATCGCTCTAGAATTTGAGGGGAGAGTGCAAAGTTTAATACGTATTAACCACTTGCCGCCGGGGTTGCCGGTACCGGACACGTATTCTTTATACGCGTGGCCGGGGTCTCCAAAATGGGACCAAGGGAACTGGGCCTTGTAACAAAAGACCGTACTCGGAACAAAAGACCAGGGGGCTGGGCATTACCAACATTTTTTCACTCTCAGTAGTGGAGATGATCCAGCCTTGTTTTGAAAAAGCATACTACGGTTTTGGGGATTTATCGCGAGTGGATTACCACTGGGGACAAAAGCGCTCCACCACTGCATCAATGAGCCACACAGCACTGCTGCATGCTAATCTGGCCCCTATTGAAAAGAGGTCAGCAGCGCACTGCGCCAGTTTTAGAACAAAAGAAAATTACGGAACACCGCAAAATGTGGGCTCTTTGTACAAGGCGGCAGCCCTGACTGAAGTACTCCAGCGTCAATAGATGTTGTCTGTCAGATTAGAATAGAAACCAGACAGTCCTTCGTGTGGGTGTAAGTATCCTGTTAATGAAGATATGAATTTTTAAAAATTTTGAAAACAGAAAAAAAATGACGATTATCCCCTCCCAGCATCATCAACATTGATAAATGCCACTGGCGCAAAGTGGTTAATGCAATGTTTTATCTTGCGGGGACCCCCCCAAAAAACCATTAAACCTTTAAACCTTGGGGTAAACTTCTATTTGATACATATTTAACATGCCTTTCCCCTTACCATCTGGACAAATAAGTGGTCGGTAGAATACTTGAAACTGTGTTAATCGTTTTTATAAATTGAAGCAGCAAAGAGCTTGAGATGTCCTTGGAAATAAATGGTAACACAATGGCCTTGAGACCTTCGAATCTGGTCTCTCCTGTATTTTTTTGTCATTGAGGAAAAACTACTCAACTCCCAAAGTACAGCAGGGAATACTTAAGCATTTCCTCGCAATCCTATCAACAGTTGCATTTGCCGAACAGAATTTTGCACTTGTGATTACTTTGTGTGACCTCAGGTGCAGGATGAGTCGTGCGTCTTGTTAGCGTTGCCTTGTGGACGAGACCACCAAGATGTCCTGTCTCAGACCAACACCTTGAGGGAGGACTTCATCACTTACCTCCAGCAGAAGCAAGCTGCAGGCATCATCAATGTGGCCGTACCAGGGACAAATCAGGTAGGATTCCTTCCAGTACAGAATGATTTCTATCAGAAGGTAGGACTGGAGGTGGGTTGGGGGATCTCTCAACATTGCAGGGTACAGAAAGTTTACCGAGTGAAGAATGGAATTTGCACAGTAGAAACTAGTGACCTACCGAAACTTGCTTTGCATGTTTCTTTGATTGTTTCTTTAACCCTAACCCTCCTCAATCCTTCACCTGTTGGAGGATTGAGGAGGGTTAGGGTTAATAGCTGATTTTTGGCTTTGGACATAAACCTGTTGTGAAGTACTTTCAGCTCAGCAGCTCTGTGAACTTGGCTCATAGAAGGTTCCAAGCCATCTTGGAAATCAAGGAAACCTGGAAAATGAGTGCCCCTTTTCCATTTGGAAAGGTCAGGGAATTTGGGAAAAAATCCGTAAGTCTCGGATGATGGGTTATTTGTGACTTTTCTGTGGAAATAGGTCAAAATAATAATGACGTGAAAAGAGAGTTTATTGTCGAGGATAGTGCTCAAACTGGTTTTAGGGAGTTGTTAAGAACTGACAATAATTTGCTTTTGTCCACAGCCGGCCTTTGTGGTGCACATCTTTCCCCCCTGCAAATTCACGCAGGCCAACCTCATGACCGTGGCCCCTGACCTGATGGACAATGTGACGGACATCGCTCATCTGATGGTGGTCATAGCCACCTGCTGACAATCTTCTTAATTGTCTTCAGCGGGCTTCAGAGACCTTGTCCCTGTCTTTCTGCACCTGTTGCCCGTTGCTGAAGGATCGGTTAGATTTTCACGGTTGACTACGAGGAGTGAGTTTTTCCCATTGTGAAACTTTACAGTGTTTGTGTTGTGCAGCTGCCTGGAGTGGATGCATTTAAGTTGTTTGATCTTGCCATCGATAAAGTAATTACAGAGTATTGTTACGAATGGGGGGTAAACGACTTACAGTTGTCAAGGCTTTTAAAACTTACATTAGGTGACCTCTATCAGATGGTTGATAATAATGTTTTTGTACCACACTTCGGGAACAACATTGGTGTCAATACCACTCCCAACCCAAGCCAATTCGGTGGTTATCAGTGATTGCCAATTTTATCAAAGAGTATGTTTTATGAAAGTGCATTAGGAATTCGGCTGTGCACAGAAAGTAGTGGTGGGCTACCAGCCAGCGTATACCACTCGCTTTGCGTATGCTTTGGCTGGGAATCTTCCCAGTGTGGTGCTTGGCATGTATAGGGCTTATTGGCAAGGCAGCTCTGTGAACTTTGACCCTGTGGTTTATCACATGCTTACTGCTTAATTGGAATGAACCGCTGAGGACAAAAATCTCCAGAACTAAAATCCGTAAAGCACAGCTGGGGTTCAGGAAGGAGCATAGAACTCATTGTGGTACTTAAGCTGGTAACCTAAGCAGGATTTCTTTTCTGCTCTCAGCATGTTGGTTTGCCTAGCTGATCCGTGGAACTGATCCTAACCTACGCCATGCTTTGAAAACAACTGGCTGGAGACAGATCTCAGTTCTCGACATTTCAGGCATTATGTGCCCCCTTAGAACCAGACAAATATGGTTACCTGGGAACATGCTCACCAGCCAATTTGAATTATCTTGTTGCAAACCTGACATTTCTTGAGAGGATCGAACTGAAAATGTCACAAAACGTTCTCATGTCCATTTTAAAATATGTTGACTACCATGTTCAGAACTGGGTTTCATGGAGGGGTGTAGAGTTGTAAAATTTTTCAGAAATTTAAGAATACGAATGCTGCTTGTTTTGTGTTTTGTAAAAAAGAGTAGAAGGGAAGAACTATCCGTCCACAACTTTGTGTCACCATGTTAAATATGTATTTCAGTTGTTCATAGGAAAAAGAAACGATCTCTTACACAAGAACCCTAACCAGTATGTGCAGTATACTTCATCAATGTTTCTCCATTTCATTTTAGTTTAAACCATGCGCTAACTGTTGGCAAGCTTTTCCTAAGGCAGAAAACATTGTTCATGCAGTCAGAACTCAGCAGGGGGGAAAATTATAAAAAGGGTTGGAAAGAAAATATTCCGAGGATTATTTCAGTCCAGTATACACGCTTGCCTGTGAGCAACTGTGAAAAGAAATGATGTGTTTTTCCTACTATTTCGCCACATCATGTTTTCTTGTAATGGTCATATTTACTTTCCTTTTGATTTGAGTTATGTTTTACGGCCGTATTACATCTGCTACATTCTTTTGTCTCATTGTGCAATTTGTAAACAATAGAATGGGTTCAGTAGTGAACATCCAGAAATTATTTGATTCTAGGAAAGAAGCCAAAAGTGTTTGACCAGTCAGATGCCAGAATTGTCCCAAGTTCATCAGTTTGTTGTGTCGTGTACTGATTGAGACTTGCAGTCATGTTTGATCTGGAAATGATTTCTTAATTTAGTTGAGTGAGAGCAGGAAAGGTTGCTGTCAGAAATAATCTGAAGTTGTTTGAATACATGTAACAGGAAGTTACCTCTTCTGGAGGAAATGTTGGCACTCTTTTCCTTTGGTATGGTAATTTTGGTTTGTAGTGAAAAGACTTGCCACCTGTCCGTGATCTTTGTTTCTTTAGTCTGAATCAGAAAACAGATTTTGTATGGCTGTACTGGTGTTGCATTTGTCTCCAAGAAAACCTTTAAAAAAAAAAATCAGGTAAACGTGTACATGTTTGAGCACTGTTTAGATACGTTGAACTTTGTTGGGTAATCCACTCAGAAAAAAGGACCAATTTAGGATGTAAAATACTCTGCCGTTTTACACTGTATATTTTAATATCACTACTATCTGCAGTTAAGCATTGTCAAAGAGATGCAGAGGAAGCAAGATTTTAGCATATTGGTGTACAGTTGGAGGTGTTTCCAGAAAAGAAAACATTTAAAGTAATGCAAATACCCAAGGTTTCTTAGAAATCTGTACAAGTTTCAAGACAACATGGCTAATTTAGGCAGCAAGTTTCGTTTGATAATCCTTTATGTTACGGTCATTGGGCACCAGATATTGCCTTGTGGACTTGCAGGTTTCTCTGTGGTTGCTGTGAGTTCACAGATACATTTTGCTTTGAACTGCTTTTTTTGGGGGGGGGGTAATTTTGTTTCTCACTGCTCTAATTGGAGGCTTCTCCGAAGGATGCTAGTGGCTGTAAGTGGATAAAAGAACTTGGAGACACATGTGGTTTTCATCAGCTGGAGACGACCATGGTCACTGACTTCAGGCCAATTCATTTTTCTAGAGGGAATTGTCACCAGGCAAAAGCTTGAAACCAACCACGTGCAGAATGCGACATACCGTTTCAGCTGCTTACTTGTTTATGATGGAAAACATGCCCTTGCTCATGTACTTATAACAACTCACCAGTTTGGAAACAAGTTTAGGTGGGAAAAATGTATCTTGTGGGTTAAACTCAATTAATATGAATGTTGGGAATAGGTGAAAAAACAATTTACTTCAAATTTTTTAGAAAGTCTTGTTTTATTTCTCTCTGTTTTAATCACAGCAGCGGTTGTGACTTTAAATATACAGGAGTGATGTGGCGGCAAGCAAAGCTTGGTAAATTACACGGCCCATGCTAAACTCTGATACCAAAGTGAAAAAACAGAAAAAAAAATTGTTTTTATGAATGACTCTGTTTTATCTGTTGGTGTGGAAATTGATTATGCTGTTTAAATAAGAGGTAATTTTAACTGATTCATTATTTCACGATTGTTTTTTTACACAAGTATGTAGGGGACACTCTTTTCAGGGGGAAATTAGTGTATTACTTTTGTCCGTTGTCTCGGTATATTGTGGGGTTTGTCCTGGGATGTATCGCGTATAATACAAATTGTACTGAACAAGTTGACTGTGAAACTAACTTGTGTGTGCATTTTGGACCCCAGCGATCAGGTTGATTGCACTTGATGTTTCATGACATTAAAAACCGTGGTTATTTCATTATGGTGCTGATAATGATCATGTTGTCTCATAAATGATAGTGTTCCCCTACTACAGAACCTTAGTGCAAAATAAAATTGATTGTACAAAGTGTAAACACTGATTTTCACTAGGTTGACTTCTTTGCTGTATAGAAACTTTAAAAACATTGTACAGTCTCGGTAAGGAAACAAATCTGTGTAAATGTAGATTCCTTGTACAGTATGGAAACATTTGACACTGAAGTTGGTTGTCAGGATATGTATTTGACACTAGAGGGCATTGTTTCCCTTGTACCCGTTTAGACTTGTTCACTTGTAACATTTAGACCGAGGGGGGGGGACAAGTCTCCACCCTGCTGTCGAACTTAATTGTCGACACCTGAAGGATGTTTTCCCCTGCAGTGTGAGTGAGCTTGTGTATATATAGCTTCTCAGAATGGTTCTCTTGTGGCATGTGGGTTTTTAAGACATATAGAAAAGTATCTGGATTGACAGAAAGCGAGCGTGGATTAAAAATCACTTTACTTAGGTGAATAAAAGTAGAGTCCACTTTGTAGTCTGAAAACCTTTGGGAACGTATTATGTCAACCAGCTCCATATTTGTCTGTAGGGTTGGTCAAATTACTGTATTAAAGATTTAAGAAAAAGAAAGTGTACAGTTGTTGTGTAAATACCCTCTCTCATGTGACTTCTATTTTCAAAGAAAAAATACAAAGCTCCACTGATGTAAATTTTTGATATTGAGTAAATAAATGGAGAGAGATATGAGTGAAAATGAACCAGTTGATGGTATGATGATGTCTTTCATTGCTTTTCCCATCTGGACAGTGGTGTCCATAACCCCCTGCTCCCCCCCTTGAACTTTGTGAATAATTTTCGCTGAGTTTAGGCAGCTTCAGGTTGTTTTCTTGTGATGCCCCCTTGGAAAAAAATATGTGTACCCGGGGTCCCCCGGACATTTGTCCCTAGCTACGCCACTGCCTCTGGGTGTATTCTTCCTATAATCACAGTCCTTTTTGTTTCCACCTTTTGTCTGAAACTGTGGCTAGCCATCGGTATAAAAGTAAAAGAATTAATTAAAACAAATTAAAACTAAGACTAAACTCTACCATTCACTCCTAAAGGAAAATACGACCCTTTTGAAACGTAATGGGGCAAATGGACATTCTGATTTAACACAAGGCACGAACCAAAGCGAGGATAATATTTCTGCAAACTTAGACCGCCCATTGCAAAAATAGGAAATATTAATGATAGCAGGCTATCCAGTTCGCATAATTGTGACGTCATTCTGTTTAAACCACGCCCACTGCACGTGCACTGCACAAGAGTTACATGCATTGATAGGCGTTACATGTTCCCTAGAACCGAATTACACGCAACTTCTGCGATCGTCCAATGGGAGCCTGCAAATCATGGGGTGTTCGATTGTATGACGAGGTCACTTACGAACGGATATGGGGAAAATTCTATTTTACTTGAGTTGCCATTTGCATTTCAATTCAAAATGCTCAAAAATGATGCATGTCTGACCGATTTGTGCCTACTTCTCTCACATTTTTAAGGAACCGCCTTTCCTTATTTTTGTCTGTGCGGTTCCTCCTTCGCAGTTGGCTTTTTTGGTAGGCCTAGTTCCTGGAAACAAAGAAAGCATGTTTGTGACCAACATTATGCCAGAGTAGTGTGAACCAAAATATAACACCATTGAAATGTCGAGTCTCCCAATGTGTTTCCATGCCAAAAGTACGTTTCCTTGCTTTCACACATAAAAGGCGCCAAACACGTGCGACTCCACGCCGCAAGCAGACGACACGCGCCAAAGCTGGAAAATTCCAGACTCCCGCACATGCACAAAAAAATTATTTGTTTCTCATTTTCTTTTTATTGAGGTTTTCTTCTAAATAAAATACTGTTTGAAAATACGAAAGATTTTTCTGTTGCTAATTCTTAGATTAATGATAGATATTCCTTATTACTTCATCATATGTAAATTTGAGGGCGAAGTTCACGCGGGAAAAAGGTTGACACTCGACAAGAAGTTGATGGTGGACAAATCGTTTGTGTAATACCCTGTGAAAGACTGATTTTCTGATAACAACTAGTTACGGGTATTTGCCGCTGTTCTTTCAAACCAGGAGGCCGATATCAACCAAGGTGATCAGACCTGTAAGTTGAAGTTATCGTCGCAAGACATGTTTGTTTGGTTGAATAAAGCGGTCATGATGTAGGCCTAAGTAATGACTTTCCATTAGGCTACCTGTAATTGAGTTGAGTGGAGCTGATGTTCACCAATCATTTTGTCATTTACAAGATAATTGATGACAACCCTTACATTTAGGATCCCGGTCCTGTGTAACCTTAGGGCAAGACAGTAACCTCTTAATGCAATTTTTTTTTCTTAACATAAAGGTCAATTATTGCAAACATGTTGAAAACATGAATCAGAGTCCACCAATTTGGCTCAAACTTTGCACATGTCACGGAAGTGTGCTGTAGAATCACTTCACTTATCTGCAGCTGCCACACTTGGTAACAGAATTTTCTTAGAAAGAATGTTGCATCCAGTCTCCACTTTGGTCATCATATTATCTCAGTGAAGGAGAGTTGTTCCAGAAATGCTGAAAAGACATGAATCTAGGACTGAGAAAAAATTTCCACTTTTGTTAGGAAATACTTTCTTAATATTTTCTTGACTTTTAAAAACAGACTTTTAAAACAACCGCTGAAGTGGAGTCAAGGTGCAATACTCATTCTGTTTTCGCTGTTTGCTGTCCAGAGAATTATTTAAAAAGTATTTGAAAGTAGGTGGGAAATCCGTGGCCAACCTTATCTGTGGTTTAGTATAATATTCAAAGCTGTAACAGTCTAATAATGAATTCTTCAATTGCAAAGATATTATTTTAATAGCCCACAAAAATCGTAAAAAAAATCGCTACAAAGAAATTAGTAAAGGCGCGTAATTCTTAAATAAAATAAAATAAAATAAAATAAAATATTAAAGCTGGCTGTAATAGGATGAACCAAACCATCTAGTGCTGCCTCACAAACTACGGATTGTCGATGCCTTGATGATGCCTCGGAGAGATGTGCATGACATGAACCCATGATGATCAATTACCATTAAAGGTAAAAGCATCAAGCATTAAAGCCCTTGTGACCTTTCTAGGGGTTATATGACAAATCATCCTGAAATGCAGGATTCAGCATCACGAGGGTTAAATGGTACAAGGAAGTTTCTCTACAGGGATTTTTTTTTACGAGATTTGGTGAGTATTCCGTACACAGATGCCACTTGGCACCCCATGCATGCACCCGAGACTGATCTGAAAATGCCAAGTGATTTCAAGGTGAATAGTTCGATATTTTCTCTGCAAAAACTGACTTCTTAGGAAATTTTCCTGCTTTCAGATAACTAATGTATCACTGCAGGGAAAAAAGTAGTGGGGCCTGTATGTGGAATTCTTTCCCAAGATCTTTACAGAATGGTAGGATTCACAATGAAAAGGGAGTTTAGTGTGTTTGTTTACAACCCCCCTCCTCAAGATTGAAAAATGTATTTTTTTGTTAAATAGTTCTCATGGTTACTTGGATTGAACTCAGTAGGCTGTTCGAGAAAACTAGACCTCATCCCTTCCTGTCACACAATTATAACCTCAGAAATATGTCTGGAAAACTCATGCGAAACTTGGACTCACACCGAAAAACCTGTCTTAATTTTGTCAGTAAATAACTTCTGTTAGGAAATCTTCAGACCCCCTACATTTAATTTTGAATTCAACCACCAATGTGAAGTCTGTATTAAATATAAAATGTTATGATGTCTCTTTACTTTTTGCCTGTGGGTTCTGATCAATAATTCCTCCAAAAGTTATGGATATGAAGACCCTGCCATAGTGTAACCTTTAGATTTTTAGTCCTTGTCCGTCATCCTGTTGAAATAACCTAATTAGGATTTGTTTGGACCCAACACTTGGCATCCAGCCTCCAAAACACATGGGACACAGCTGTCTCTCTCGACCTCTGTATCTCTGACTAGGCAATCATTCACACTAGTATGTAGGTCTATTTCCCAGAATGCAAGCACTGAGCAGTGAACATGACGGCATGGTGCTCATCACAGCAACTTGATAAAGAGACGACAACATGTCTGGGATGCCAATGGTAGCTCAGTGCAGTTGGACTTTTGTTTATATATTTTATACGTGTGGATGTCGGCATGATGGCAAATCATGATCTTTGAAGACACACTTCAGTGAATGCAAGATTAAATGGCCCATCCTAATGATGCCTACGTCCGTAATTAGGTACCCCAGAAAGTCCTGCATAGACTTGATTTCTCTGTGGTCTGTGGTATGTTTCCTGGTTGCTGTTCTGTTGAAGCAGATGTGACCTTACTTACATTGTGCAGTGTTTTCCTTGTGAGTTTTGCTTGTTAGGTTTCCTTCACTCCTCATAAGGAAGTTTATAAAGTTGTTTCAGCAGCAGTATCTCACAGTTACATGTACTTGCTTTTTCTGAATGTAAATCGATAGGCCTACTTTCATGGGAGGTCACCTCGGAGGAGTTTCAACAAAATCATATGAAACTGAAGATACAGATGCTTCAAGTGAATATTGTGAATTTCTTGTTTATTCATTAAGTGTGGGGAAACATTTTGCCATCAAGCTGAAGTGGAAGTGTTCCTAATTATTGATTTATATCATTTCTCTGTAAAGAACGTTTGTCATCCTGTGCAGTTTTCTTTGCAATATGTAGCATCGAGAATAAAGAAGTAATCATTATAAAAATGGCGCATTAATTGATTTCATCATTAAATTAACAACATGGATTTGCTGTGACAGTCAGTCACGAATGATGTGGTAAGCCCTCAGTAAAGGGAATATCATTATTTCTACACTGTTACCACATGATTCCACTGCATGGAAATGTTCATTGTAAAGAAAAAAGAAGGTCACTTTAAACAAAAGAGAGTACAAACTATACTTGGACAAACCAAATAAATAGATATTTGTTTACGGCCCATGAGAAACAGAATTTTCCTTGCTCTCAGCAGCACGTGCCGATCATTCTGATTGTACATGGTGTTGGTGTCCTCAGGGGGGGCATGTGACATTGGCAGCCTGTGTGACGTCATCCTGCCAGCATTCTGCGCTCCCACATGTTACTTTATTTTAAGGAACCATGCATAAATGTATGGTATAGGTGCATATTGTCAGCTCTGGGAGGATGGCTAGGAGGATTATATGTTACATGTATTTGAATGTTCATCAGCGTATAGCATCTGATAAAGTGAGCTGTAAAATTAAATGGTGTCGCTGTGGAAGACCTTGTGAGCTTTTCACCTGCATTTTGTTATTGGATAAAGACCAGGAACTGGTACATTGCTATTGGTGATATTGATACTGTGCAGGTTATTTGCACTTATTTTGTCATTGTGTACAAGGTTGCCTGTTTCATTCCTATTCACTGAGGCATATAACCATGGCGATGAATCCTTTGCACATTGTGTGTATGTTATCAACAGATATGGACCTTGTCTCAGGAGAAGACATGAATGGGAATTATATTTAGCGTGTTGTCAATGTTGTCTTTACAGGTCAGTGGCCACTTTGATTGTTGTGTCGGTTTGAATTTAGAATTAGGTAGGAAGCATTCATTTTCGGACCTGAAATGTGAGGGTGAATCTTTAAAAAGGCTTAGAAATTATCATTGTTTACCAATATTTAATTTGGAATTAAATTCAAACTCTGTTATCCCACACTTTGTGGGTTTAGCCATC